TGTATATCACATATCCTCCCACTCTTCTCCCATTTAATTGACTCCTTTCTAGTGATGTAAACAATTATTTGTTGCCATTTTTAATTACAATCAATTTAATCGCTTGCAATTGCAATTCATTGATATATTAGATCTAAATATAACTCCCATTCAAGTGTCGTGTATTATGTATACAGAAATAGCATCTTAATTGATATCTATATATAAATATATTATATAAATATTTAATTGCGAGTTTATTTTTGTTGTTAAGACTTTTGTACAATTTATTAATAGGGTTAACGGTTGGGAATAATACTATAAATTAAATGTATATATATTACAGGTATTGTGGACCGGAAACACAGGGAATGGTGCCATCGGTGATAGTTGATAGTCTCAAACCTTCAGCAGCACATCAGGTATTGTATAGGCATTTGTCATGTCTTCAAATCCCCAATTATTCTTCAATTTGATTGATAATCATTCATGTCTCACATTCTCTCTCTCTCCCTCTCTCTCTCTCTCTCTCTCTCTCAATGATTGCGGACACGACATGCATGTGCAGCCCCTATACGTATCCCTCTATCGTGTGACCCAAGAGTCGGCCACACATTACGCCCGCAAACTGTTCGCACTGTTTGACGACAACGACTACACGACATCTTCGGAGACGAGTCACGACACGTCTTATAATTACATTACGCGCCGACACATGGGCTCCGAGTCGTCGTTCGGTCACGTGAGAAGCGCCGGCACCCGTAGCCCACCCCTCGACACGTCCACCTTTTACGGCCAAATCATATACGAAAGCAATTATACGGATGACTACAACGGTCTGGCACTACAACAGGACGGCCCCACCGGCGCCACTACCGGACCGATGATGTCGTCCACTCATAAACCGTCCGAAATGAAGGATCCGATGGATCCGTGGGGTTCGTCGCTATTGCCTAGCATTAAGTCTGATAACAAACCCGTCAACACTGAAAACGGCATATTTAAACCAGCCGTCAATGTCTCCACACGAATACCGGTGATTTATTTTAATATTAATTATTATTACATACATCTATTACATAACCATAATATTGCCCACTTTGTAATATATTGAGAAACATTAAGGATATTATAAAATTTTCATGTTTTGTTGTATTTTTATCCCAATTCTAAATATAGATATATTTTCATTCATTTCATTAATGTTTTTGGTATATATTATGAATGAAAATGTTATACATTTTCTGTGTGTTTTGTAATTGGATTTGAATTTCTTTTCCTCCGTCTGTCTGAGAGGTGGAGAAGAAAGAAATCAATTTCTTGTTTGCCATTCAAATGAGATTTTCTGTTATATATTTTTCTATCCAATTCTTCTCTCTTTTTAAACACAAAATGAATGATTAATTGGTTTTTTGTGTTTTTTATATAGCATTTAAATAACACACATCTTATTTTTGTTTAAATAAATTAAATTAAGGCAACATGAAATATTTTTCAAACGCCAATCTTAATGATAACATATTCTGTGAATTTTATATTCATTCAGAATAAGTAGGCGTTTGATTGCATCCATTTATTTCCTATTGATTTACGGAATATTCTGTATAATAATTGCCTTATATTTTGATTGATATTTTTATTATTCCTATTATAAATATTAAATGTATAAAAATGAAATTCTCATTAATTCAGGCAAACAATTTGATTAATACAATTGAAAACACCTGTGGGTGTAAAACATTAGACAATAACCGACTTTTGTGTTCCGGCATAATATAATTATTTTAATAAATAGATTAATTCATATAACAATTTCAAAACAGAATATTCTTGCGCTCTATTTATTGGGAATAGATATATGGTATATAAATCTATAAATAAAACTAATCCATGGATTATATCTACCGGTGTTTACCATAGATTTTGTGCGGAAACATATCGAGACGTCCGAATTATCCGAGCGTAAAGTGTTATCCAATTCCTGATGCCTTTAATCCGTGCGAAGATGTGATGGGAAACGGATTCTTACGGATGTTAGTGTGGGTTGTGGTCATCGCTGCCGTTCTCGGCAACTGTGCCGTCATGATTGTCCTCATGAGGTATGGCACCCACTCCTCCCCCGTCCCCCTCTTGGCCACCGGTCAGCATGTTTTAGGCCATACTATACTGTATATCATTTTTATTGCCAATAGTTATAATTTTATTACATAAAGTTATGTTAATTGTTTGCGACGTGTGATTATTATATCTGTTTGGCAATAAATTTAATTACTTTTTTTGCTTTGTGCGATATTTTCTGTCCATTTTATAACATAATTAATTATTTGTTACCGTTGTAAAAGTTGCCCTCCCCTCCCAGCCCTGTCCCCAAACACACAGCAGATGCTTGTAATCAATTTGTTTGTTTCCTTTCAATTGTGTATTGAATTGATTTCAAACTCACTGTACGTCTCGACTAACCATTACTTCTGTCGCTAAACAATAACAGCAAC